ATATGTTTTGAGGTAGAAGTGCTGAGGGATAAAGAGGGATCATTCTTTTGGTGAATAAGTGACTAGTGATGGTAGATTATAAGAGCAGGCATTCATTCATGTGATTGTGTGTATGAATGAGAAGAAGGTATTGAAAGAGCAGGTAGAAGGAACTGTGGCCTATGTGTGTGGTTCTAATAAGCTGAAATTTTCCCAACTGAGTCCTATTTGGAAAATTCAACTCTTAAATGATGTCTCAGTATGTATTATGGTTTTCCAGAGAAACAGTACCAATAAGATATATGCCTATATATCCTACTGAGCATCAATAGGATTGTGTACCAACTGGATGGAAATATATATATATCCTGTTGAGGAATTACCTTGCACAAATATGGAGGTTGAGAAGTGACATGAATGATCTGCCTTCTGCAACCTGGGGAGTCAGGAAATCTGGTGGTGCAACTCTAGTCTAAGTATGAAGGCCTGGGAACAAGGAGAACTAATGTTATAAATCTCAGCTCAAGGAGAGAAGACAGATGACCCACCTCGAGCGGGCAGGCAGAAAGCAAAAATGGCCAAATTCTTCCTTTCTCTGCTTTTTTGTTCTATGGAGGCCCTCGAAGGATTGGTTGCTCATCCACACTGGGGAAGGTAATCTACTCTATGAAGCCCACTCATTCAAATGCTAACCTCATCCAAAAACACCCTTATAGATGCACCCACGAAGAATGCTTCATCTGGGTACACGTTGGTACTACCAAGTTGGCACATACAATAAACCATCACAGAGTGTGTCCTGAATAACATGTTGGTGAGGTCAGTCATTGTTCACAATGGACCAGAGCCCTGAAAGAAGCCCACTTTTTAAAAACTTTAAAATAAATAAATGCATGTATTCTCTCAAGAAAGTAAACATGAAATAGCATAGCTATCCAGGGAATTAGTCTTTTAGTTTGAATCATTTGGCCCTCAGAAACTAAAAACTCATCCTATGATGAGCAACGGATTCATTGATACCTTAGAATAACCTAGTAAGTTCAATAAGCCCACAGTGCAGAGTATCCAAAAAAGGGCAAGGGGCTTATCTCAGATCACACATTCTGACTCTTGGTGAAATGAGACAAAATGCATATTTCTTCATTTGGTTTAGGCTCTTTCTACCATTTTGATTATTTGAAATAAGGCATTGTAATAACGTCAGAAAAAAAAAATCGTTCAAGGAAATTGAAGTCCAAAGACAAAACATGAATTGCCTAAGGCCACCCAACAGATTATGATAGACACAGACTATATGTCAGGGCATTTACCAAAGCCGTAATGAATAAATTCAGACTTGGTTTCTGTTGGCCTATCTAGTCTCTGAGTTAATGTTTAAGATGAATTTTAAAATAAATGTCCCCAATACATGACAGTGTGTTTGAATGTTCACGAGTCATGCATTTCACTTTGGTCAAGCAGGCTGAATAAACACACTTTTGTCCTCAATGACTATGATTTAGATAGAACTTGTATTTAACTAGTAATTCCTGGTGTTGCAAGTCCTGAGATTGCAAAATTCTTTAACAGATTCATTAATGTTCTTTCTTCACATGGAAAATAACCAGAGCTTAACACAGTTTAATTCCAATGAGCATGTAATTTGGATTTAGGATATTCATGTCATTATGCTTGGTGCTGACTAAAATTCAAAGATGAGTTAGTTCTGGACCTTGCATTCTATTGGCTGACTGTGTATTTGCGTTAATATGTAAAAAAAAAAAAAGGTAATTTTGATATAAAGCAGAATGAATGTTGTTGTCTAGGAGAGGTGGTACATACAATAGGCTATGGGACTTGCTAATTAAGAACAATTTAATGGGCCAGGGGTATCTGAAAAATTGCATGAAACAACTAGTATTTATGTAAAGCTTAAGAATATTAACAACGTTTTCAATTGGAGAAAAGGGAAAGGCAGCCATTCTGAGCCATAGGAACAGCACTGAAAAGGACCTATGTGCAAGAAAAGGAAAGGCATTATGGGTGAAGGACAAGTCACTAGTCAAGACTAAGATACTGTTTGTGAGATACAGACACATACAGCCGTATTTATTTGTACAGTCTAGATTTAAGCTTGTAATCTACTTGAATTGCCAACATGTACCGATGGAGGTCAAATAATGACACCTTCTTTGTGTAATGAGCAATTATTATCTAGGATTGAGAATGAGCTCAGCATGCATTTAGTCACGTCTCCTCCCTTGTCCTAAGATGACATGGTTGGAGCCTATGGTTGCAACACGGTGGTGATAAATACAAGGAAGCCTCATGTTGCTTCTGCAACATGCTTTCAGGTGGCCATGCTAGCTTCATTGTATTAAAAGGATGGATAAATTTAGCCTAGACCTATCATTTAAATGACTGGCAATTCACTAACTACTTAAGTGCATTTGGCAGAAAACATATTTATTTTCTGGCTTTAAACTGCAATAGAGTCTTTATAATTCACACCAGATTTGGAACCTATTCAGAAACACTTAGTTAAGTTAATGAGATATTACCTACTACTGTTTTTCAATAGCGTCAGTCACGCTACCCAGTGGAAGTTGTGTTTTTGGAGACCCTGTTAGATCCAAATCCAACTCAGGGACGTTTTTGTCTAATTGGTAAGAATGGCACATGATTGATTCAAGCAATTTCTTCTGAGAACTCTCCATAATGCACGCTCGCTGTATTTGTTGTAAGTTGGTGTCCTGTGTGTTGTTGGTAGGTGCCAGGACCTACCAACTTGGCTACCAACAGGCTTGCTCCCCATATTGCCCGCGTACCTTATACAATTTTGCACATGAACAGAAATAGGACCTCAGCAGAGATTGGCTAAATGTGATATTATTCTAATGACAGTAGTCATTTTATTAGCGTCATGAGTTTTCATTGCTATGGGGCAAATATTTTACATGCCCTTCTCATAACATTGAAGAATTTCCTTCTAAGAAGGTTAGGAATTATGTCACACTCAGCGACACTGTTAGACTCCAGGTAGGGGAAGTTTTGCTTCCCAAGACAAACCTTCAGCTTAAAACACAGCTGTAACGATATTCTACTCAGTATTTTTATATGTCAATATTCTCCACATGCCATTCAGAAAAAAATAAAGAGAATGATATAATATGGAAATATAATACCAGATTTGCAATAGCCATTCATTCATTATAAAACATTCTTCTTGTATTAGAAAAAAATAAATGCTAACTATAAAGATGACATCTTAGATTAGTTTTCTCTACTCCATTCTGTCCTGTAATATCAGAAGGTATCCACACAAAAATTTGTCAAAATAAGTGATAACTTTCTTGCTCACAGCTGAAGAGCAACTCTAAGTTTGAAATATTATGGTTGTAAGAACAAGTATCACTTTGCTTTTGCTGATGTCTCTAATATCAGGAAATGGTTTTCTTTCCCAAAAGCACTTTGATGACAATAACACACTTACTTTGACATCCTGTATCCAGGAAGAGAATATCTGATGAAGAAGAAAGGGGAATGGAAGGGGCGGTTCGGAGAGATTTGTTGAGGGGCATGATAATAGTATGTTCATGTAGAAGTAAAAACCTAAGGCCATATCTCACTCCTCAAACCCTGTCAAAGGCTTTGGCCCAGCAGGTATTCATGGAAACATCATGGGGTTCATATAGAGTTCAAGGCCTAGATTTCCTTAGTTGTATTTCTAGCTTTGAGCCTGCTGGCTGCTGGAAGAGGGGAGTGGAAGACAATCAGGAGCACATGCTGTTCAGCATGGGTCCCACAGGGTATAACAGAAAATAGGAGCACAGCCCCCAGATCCCAGTTAATGAAGGAGTAGTTTCTGCTAGGTCCCAAAGGGGTAACAAGAAAAAGGGGGGCTTGCACTAGGAACATAGATATTTGAGTCAAGATTGGATAAAAGACCATCATTTTCTATATAAGTGCCCCCCATGCCCCCACGGATTCCATAGCACACATTCTTGTTTTAAATCTAGTACAATAAGGCAGGAAGATTTTTTGTAATCATTAGGAAGAAAATTTGAATTAAGCTTTTATTCTATATTCTTTTGTTCTTGAAACCGAACTTCTACCCAATTTGTTAATTCCAAAGAAAAAGACAACTAATCCCTCTAACAGAAATCATCAGGATTTCTTAAGCATAAAAATGAGTTGGGGGGGGAAGGATTTCTGCATGAAAGTTAATTTTATGATATTGCAGCATAAATTGTGACCTGGCAGTTCCTTCTGCAGTTTAATAGAACTGGCAGCAGGAACCATGACTTAAGCAGACTCTGTATAATGAGAAGCAAAGACAAATCGGTGTGAAGGACAGGGAGAAGGGCATTACTGCTTCCCTCCTGGAAGATTAAAAATAGTAAAATATTGCAACCAAAATTTATCTAAAAGGAGATAGTATCTCAGAAAGAGAAAAAAAAAAAAAAAAGAAAGAAAAAAAGATTCTAAGAGACCGCCATAGCCCCGTGTCTGATGAACAGAGCCCAAGAGCCCGGTGATGACATTTGAAAGAAATCTGTGAGGGTTGACCATTCTAAAGACCTGGTGGCAGGTAATTTCTGACATTATAATTTTGAAATGGGACAATTTTCTAAAGCATAATTAGAGTAAAATGAGTATATTACTTCTTCTACAGAATGAAATGCAGGCGAGAGGCTTGGGTGTACTAAATAAATGAGAGAATTTATTGTTACAGGACAAGAGTCAGTCTGTACTCTCAACCAGGCGGGTGACTTCCTCAGAGTGCTGTCCTGAGGAGCCCAAGCACGTGTGACGGGCCTGCTCTGAGCTCTGTATCCACAGGAGCTATATCAGAGCAATTTCCAAAATTACACAGGGCATGCAGCTTCGAAATCTCCTAGCAGAACAGCCGTATTATCCTGAGGACTTGCAATAACAGGAATTATATGCAATTTTCTGATAATGACTCCACTAATGTGAGTCACTGCTGACGATACAATTTGTTAAACATTGCTGGATTCCCAAATCTGACATTCTGTCACTCTGAAATCCGTCTTTCCGGCACTGCCGTCGTTACAGTGGTCATCCTCACCATCATCAGAATCGTCAACGCCATCATCGTCAGTAGCAGCATCACGGAATCCCTACGAACGCGTCTGGGTTCCCCAGTTTAAGTTTTCTTAATTTCACTAACATCTCATTCATTCATTCATATAGTGGAGGAGGGGCAGAGGGAGAGAAAGAATCTTAAGCAGGTTCCACTCCCAGTGTGGAGCCTGACCCCGGGGCTCCATCTCACAACCCTGAGACCATGACCTGAGTTGAAATCCAGAGTCAGCCACTTACCCGACTGAACCACCCACCGGTGCTTCACTAATATTTTAAAAGGGAAGACAAAATCTCTCTTCATCTGTTCAGGTATCAGTTTTGTGGTCGATGTGTTTGATTCCTTCTTTGGGAAACTAGGATCCCAAATTAATTAAATTTGGACCAGATATAGCTTAACTTTAAATTGTCCTTTATATCAAGGGAAACTGCCTTGGCAATCAGGTGCTTCAAACGAGTGCCTGTAAATACCCATTATTGTACATTCTAATATACCCGGACATAGAATAGAACCTACAGCTCAGGGTCTATCTGATCTACTAATTGGGAGCAGCAAGTGCACCTCATGTTTTGAACCTGAATTAATTAACCAAAACTGATTAAATTGTCTTTGAGCTATTCAAGGGAGTGACACCAAAGGCAGAATTGAATGAGGAAAGGACTATTTAACTTTTTTTAATCACAAAGGTCAGCTTTTTAATGTAGCAGATCATTAGAAAGTCTTCAAAGGTGGAAAGAAACCAACAAAACAGCCTAAACTGCCCACACAGATACGTGATCTGCTTTTCCTTCAACCAGCTTTCCTTCCTGTGACAAGGGCTTCTCCCAGGACACAAGCCTTTGTCTAAAGAATTACGTTTTTACCTACCAATTTGCTCACTCAATGGAGTTTTCTGTTCTGTCCGTAAAACTACCACTTGAGCTTTATTACCTCCCTCATTAATCCTGAAGCTACCACCCACTAGTGGCCTTCATGACACTCCTGTATTACTGCTCTGGTCTCCTCTGTGGCCGTACTGCCCCTACTTCCTCCTCCTTCCAGCTCAAGGTGAAAAGTAAGCCAAACTAACACCAGGTATTTTTACTTTATTATCTCCTTGCTCAAGAAAATGCCACAGTTCTCTCATTGCCTGGTGAACACAATTACAACCCCCTTCTCCAACTTCTAGGACTTGCTGGAAGCTGGATTCAGAGACAACATATCACACTGATAGGGACATGCTCGATTTGCTCAGATTAGACCAGGCCCTTCCTGTCCCTCTGTCACTCTTGATCTCTTATCTGTTTCTCCATAACCCCCCATCCCCAGTCCCTGCAAATAACACACACACACACACACACACACACACACACACACACAATATTACACTCCTACCTTTGTTTGCAGGAAACAGATGATACTTTGGAGAGATAAAGAAGGAGGGACAAGGGAAGGAAGTAGATGAATCATTCCTTCTGTCCTTAGGGGTTTGCTTCTTTTTCATTCTAATCATTCATGAGTATTGTCTTTCCCATAAATACCTGAATGAGAGGGTTAGGTCTTCACACAAATGTATTTGGGAAACTAAGTTTAAAATTGGTGTCTTCATTTTTTATTTTTAAAATTTTTTTGAGAATCCATTTGAGAAATGACATTTAAAGAATATCTCTGGATGTTTTGTAAAACTTTGGTAGGAAACATCCATTTTGTTCTTCAGTAGCATTCATATTTTTAAAAAAACCTGACCTACTAAGTGTAACCCTTCATTTTTTTTATGTCTCTTTTAATGACCCTTCATCTTATTTAACATATTAAATTTGTCTTTTGACTTGATGGCTAGAAAGTTTAGCTCAAATTTCATTCTCATTTTCCACAGCTTCTATCTCAAGAGTTTTTAAAACAATTGCCTCCAAAATCAACCCCATTTCTTTCATTAGCTACCTCTTATTATTATGACTTACTTTAAACATTTGCAATGTGTTTGTACCCTTATAAACCATCTGAGGTTGTTTCCTGGAATCTCTACAAGGGATCCAAATGATAAATAAAGACACACACTGGTGTTTGTTTTCTTCTTGATTGCATATCATTGTTGTTGTGACGTCTCTTGGAAAACCTAGTGTGGGCTCCCTGAGAAGCAAAGAAAATATTGGAGGCTTCTTTTAGTAAAAGGTGCTCTGGCTCCCAAGGCCTCTCACCTCCTGAGGACATTGCCTTCTTTGGTCCTCCTTCTCCCCTGTGGCACCAGCCTTTCTCCCTTTCCTGAATCTTTTCCATCAGCATGCAAATGTGCATTCACACCTCCCCCGGAAGCACTCTTGCTATATAATATGCCCCCATCTGGCTACTACCTAATTGCTCCTAATTCCCTTCCATGGCCATGGTGGTTATTTATTATTGCATGCTCTGGGTCCTGTTCTTCTTTTGCAGCACTAGTACCTCTCCCTAATCTGGCTTCCACCACATCTCCACAAAATGGTTCTTGTGTGGTGACTAGTGATTTCCACATGAGAAGAGTGCTTCCCTGTCTCCACCTTAGTCAACTTCTCATTGTTTATCTGCTTTTGAGAGATTCGCCTGTCCTAGTTCTGACAAAAATTTCCTCTGGGTTTCTTACCACCTCACAGGATACTCCTCTGGGCCTCTTCAGCTGGCTCTTCCTCCTTTGTCTCTAAATGCTGGGTTTCTTGGATTTCAGACCTGGACCCCCTTATCTTCACTCTCTGCACTCTCTTCTTAAATCATGTGAAGAATTGTCATGTACATATTTTTACCATTTATACTGATGAATTTCAAATGTCTATCTCCACCTCAGATTGCAAGTCTGAACTTCTGGCATAGATAGATAGATAGATAGATAGATAGATAGATAGATATTATGATATATCAATTGTCTTTTTTAAAATCTCTCTCTCCTGGTGGTCTCACAAATATCTCAAAGTTAACATGCCCATAATAAAAACATTGATTATTGAACATCTCAATGGCAATCCCCTTTACCATTTTATTCATTTCTGTAAATAGTACCGACTTGCAACCAGATACTCAAGCCATACCACTGTACGTCTGGCTTGATCTCTTCTTTTCCCTCATCACCCACATTTATTCCATCAGTAAGTCCTATTAATTACTTTTAAAATATGTCTTGGGACGCCTGGGTGGCTCAGTTGGTTAAGCAGCTGCCTTCGGCTCAGGTCATGATCCCAGCGTCCTGGGATCGAGTCCCACATCGGGCTCCTTGTTCTGTGGGGAGCCTGCTTCTCCCTCTGCCTCTGCCTGCCACTCTGTCTGCCTGTGCTCTCTCTCTCTCTCTCTTTCTGACAAATAAATAAATAAAAATCTTTAAAAAAAAATATGTCTTAACTCTATTCACAGCTCTGTATTTTCACTGTCAATTTATTTAGCATTATTAAACCTAAGATGGATGATTTATGTTTTTTTCTCCTCTGCACTCACCTGTATTCTATGCCATCCTTTGGGTGGAATAGAGTCAGTTTCTTGTTTGTTTGTTTGTTGTTTGTTTGCTTCAAATAGTCCCCTTTCTCACTATTCTAATAGAAACCCATGCATACCATTCTATGGCTGAAATCCTGCGGTGGCTCCCCATAGCACCTGAGATAAAACAAAATTCTTTTCTGTACCACACAAGACTATTATCTGACCCCTGCCTCTGCTCCAACCTCATTTAGTGCCCATCCTCTCTCTACTGAGTGCCAGGAAGTCATTCATTCAGTATCTAAAATATATCACAACTTCTCTTATTCCAAGTTTTTGCTAATGCTAAGATTATTCTATCTGCTTTTGGTTTCCTTCCCTATACCATCCACATTTAGAACCTTTCTTGCCTGTAAGAAGTAATCTTAAATACCACTTCATCCAAGAGGCCTTCCATGACTACCTTACAGAAAATGAATTCTTTTCAGTACCAGCCTGTCAGCCTCATTTTTTCTGTTGTCTATGCTACTTATTACAATATGATTTTTGTCTGTTTATTTATATTTCATCTATCTCCCTAAATTGAATGTGAGCTCCAAAAGCTTAGAAATAGTGGCTAGCTTATGCCTCTATGTTTGCCTGACAATTCTTCATTAATATCAGGGAATGAATGGATGAACGGTTGGAGTGGGTAAATTAATTACAAGACAAGGTTTCCTCCCCATCACATTGGTACTCCAGCTTGGATTCCCATTCTCCCAAAGGAAATCATGGTTAAGACTTTGCTATGTGTCCTTTCATGTTTCTACTTGAGTCATTATTTTCAGAATCATGTCTTTATGCAGTGTTGTATTCTTCCTCTCCACTAATCCACATCCTCTTCATTATTCAATAATTACTTCAATTCCTAACTGTCCTTGGAGACTCCTTGATTCATTCTCTCCTATTTGCATCCTTCTCATTTTGATTTCCTATCTCCTGATTAACGTATCACATACTGGCTCACTGAACAAATAACCCCCAGCTCCTCATCACCTATGTACCCACAGCGCTGTGTTAGCAGTTTGATTATATTATTTTGTATAGTTTTCTCAAAATTCTTCAGGTATATTTCCCATTTTACAGATGCAAACATTGAGCCTGAGCATAATAACCCCAAACTAGAAACATCCCCGATGTCATCAGTCTGTTAATGGATACATAAAATGTGTTATGTTCATACAACGGGATGTTACTCAACAATAAAAAGGAAAGAAATGGTGATGCACACAATAATACTGATGAATTTCAAAAATCAGTGTGCTGACTGAAAGAAACCTGGTGCCAAAAAAAAAAAAAATACGTACCGTTAAGAGTGTATTTATTAAAAATTCTAGAAAATACAAATGAATCTATAGGGACTGAAAGTAGGTTACTGGTTTTTTAGTCAGTGGGAAGGACGGATTGAAAAGAATCATGAGGAAATTTTGGGAGGAGATGGGATGTTCCTTATCTTGGTTGTGACATTTGTTTTGTGGGTATATGATTTCACTAATTGCATAGGTGTGTATATCTGTTAAAACTCATCAAAGTTTAACCTTGTAATGGGTGAGGTC